TACGTATATGTGTATATATATATATATATATAATATATATAAAAGACATCATCTTCTACAGTGATGGAGACAAATTGAATTCTTACGTATCCACAGGTTTCTGTAGTAATGCTGTGTCCTGTAGTTGACTCGTTGGGTGCAGTTAAATTATTGCTTTGTTTGATGGAAATTAATTTGATATCGATACCCAGTGTATGAGCTGCTACTTGCGCGATCTATATAGTGTACAAGAATTATTTTAAATAAATTGGCAGAAATACAATGTACATATTCAATTGAATTTTTCTCCAGTTTCATAAATCAATATGATAATTAATCTGTATTCAAAGTATAGAAAATATGTATACAGAATAAAAAGTGATAAATATCTAGAGATCTCGTGTATCAAAGTTCCTGATTCTAATTTTTTTTAAATAGAAACTCGATTTCTATTTACTTGTCACTTTCCACATAAAGCAAGGTCTATCCCATACCCTTCCTCTTGCTTAGAGGCGTTCGATTTTTCACACGAAACTAAATTCACTTCACATCGCCCCCTGCTTAAAGACTACAATTTTCCATGCGAAGCGAGATCCACCTTACATTCCCCCTGCCTAGGAGAGGTTAAATTTATTCGTTAATAATTTTTTAACGAACAACACAGAGTGACAGAGTGACAGAGTGGATCATGCTTAGCAAGGAAAGTCAGATCCTCTTAAGCAAGAAGGAGAGATGAACTTCGCTTTCGTGGAAAGTTATATCGAGTTACAATTTAAATTATACATTTAAATACATATTTATATTGTCAACTTTATTTGTAAATAATTTTTGAGCGAATAACGTGCGGGCTAAAATCTTCTGAAGGTCAAAGTTAAGATTATCAGAGTTGGATTAGTTATTGTCAATATTTACCTTTTTTATTGGTTTATTGATAAAAAGAATGAAAAAAACTTGCTTAGATGGACCGTAGCATTTTTCATACCTTAGTATTTATGCCTTGATCGATCTCAATTCCGCTATGCGTCACGCATACCGAACCGTCCCGAGCGCAAACTGATACCATCGCATCGAATTGTCCTTCATACGTTATCAAATACTTCATTGGTACGATGGCAATTCCCTTTTTCTTCCAGCGATTTTGTATGTTGAAGTCATTAATGGATTTTTTGTTCTCGTGATAATTGGCCTGTTTCGACAGATCCCTTATCATGGTTTCTAATACGGATCTATCCACATTATTCATATTTGCCAATCTGACTTCAATCGGATCCTGGTCCGTTACTTTCGTAATGTAGTCCATTATATTCTCGATCATAGCTACTCCTTCCGTAAGTCCTGGTGCCCGACAAAACGTGTTTGATGGTAAATTGGATTGCACGTCGTGTCCATTGAACGTCCAAGTATCGGTTAAATAGCAGCTTCTAACGATAAAAAATTAATTGTGAGTATACTTAATTAAAAACGGAAGATTAATCACGATAGAGTGTTTTTAAATTTGATTTAATTAATTGAAAATTATTTTATCACAGTTAATTAAAACAAATTTGTTTATTAACGTATATATTGTTTATTAGTATTATAATATTTTTTCATTTTTTTGAATATATTTCAAAATTCTGTTCCAAATAACATAAAAATGGTTTAATTTATTATAATATTTCTTTTTAAAAATGTGTTACTCAATTTTAAAATATTGTGCACAGGAAATCGAATGAACTTGGATTTAATATTATAGTATTCTCTCTGTAATAATGATGTATCGTTATAATTGCATATATTTTTCCTTATGCTACATCTTATTCTCAAATAGCACACAGCGCTTACAAAGAGTTAACAAAGCGCTAAAAAAGCGCATATAATCGCTTTTTTTAACGCTTTGCAAGCGCTGCTGTGCTACTTGGGTTATTATGCATCTTATTATATATTATTTCGATACCTTAGCATGCAGGAAATTATCATTTCAGATTGTTGTTCGTTGAAACTGGAACCGCAGACGCTCCAGAATGTTGTGTTGAGATACTGTATGACGCCGTCATCGTTTATTCCGACTTCAAAATCTTGACTCGTAGAACATCTCTTGCCTATCGATTGCATATTGCTCTCCATTGTCATGACGAATCGCGCTGGACGATTTAGTTTATGACATACCAATGCACAAGCACACGAAATTTGCGCGTTGCGTGAAATTTTCGACCCGTACGAACCGCCAACTCGTCTCACATGCACATTGATGCTAGAAACATTAAATTCATACAATTGGTACTAATTTTATTTTACAAAATACATTTCTGCAATCTATGATTTACTTATTATTGCTTATTTAATTTATTTTATTTTATTACAAAGTAAGAATTTCTAATTTTAATTAGAAATAATTAGTTCCCATTTTACATTAAATCTATAATTTAAATTTTTACTTAAAGTAATTATTTTTTCTTTGCCTTTTTCCTTTTTTATTAAAAAAAAAAATTTTCCCGATTTTATCATGTGATTGATATTAATATATTATATAATAATACAAGTATTATTGAAATATACATCGCAATAGCTCAATGCTTTTGTGAGGAAAAGACTGTCATGTATAATGATATAATTCGTTAATTTGTTAAAATATATAAAACATACTCTGTAATATGTTTAAAAATTACATAATTTATATTGGAAATATTATAATTATTTGGTATTACAATATTAGCATTTTTATCCTGAATTGTATAAATATATCCGTAAATATATTTGATTGAAAATTTAATAACAGTACTGTATTATACATTTTTTTATATAAATATACACATTCTTTTAATGTGTAATGTATCACAATCATAATGATAATATCATACATTACATTTGAGTTTTTGAATTTATATATATCTATAATGTCGCTTAAGAAAAATGTGTACAGTTTATTTAAAAATTATTATATAAATCTATAAATTTAACTTCTAATTGTAACTTTTTTACTGTTTTAAATTGTTCGATTACAGTAAAGAGGAATAATTTTATTTTTAACTTTACTTAAGTGTGTGAAAACATACATCTTTAATATTGGATCTTAAGAATATTCCACCATAACTCTAATGATCTTAATTGCTATTACAGTATAAATTATATTATTACAATTGGACTAATTACTTAGACTGAATTACCTATTATTCTGAACATTAAGACAATTTCCGATTGATACTTGAATGAGATCCCTCCATTGTGACGATGGATAAACGTCCATACCACCCTCCACGGGAACGCATACGCAGGATTGAGTCTCTATGGAATAGTGATACTGGCTACCGCATCGAAAGGAGCCCTTTATTACACGTTGAGTATTGTTTCCTGTAAATAAAATGCAATCTTTCTATTCAATATATTATTTTTTTTATTTCCCGACTTCTATCTCGACTTTCGATTCTCTGCAGAGATTTGAAAGAATATTGAACGCTATTCGCGACTCAATTTATAAAATACATAAAATAAAATACACAATCAAAATAAAAATTATTCACATATTTATTAACTAACATAACCCGAATGTGTACAGAAAGTTTAAATGAAATATATTATTTGATATGATTTTCACTAATACGTCCTAAAATATACACTTGAATGTTTTAACCAAAATTTTAACCAAAATATAAATTCAAGTTTTGAAATATTTTGCATATTTATGTTTCTAAATATTGTATAAATAAAAAAAATTAATTTTTATTTACTTTTAAGTGATCTAATTGTTTCCATTAAAATTGTTCCATTTTGTAACATAATTATTTTGTTAATTAATTTGTTAAATTAGTGGATAAATTTAATTTGGTATTGGTACAATTACTTCTTAAATAATTATAAATTATTTATGCGATAAGAATAAATATATTATATTAATGTTTTATTATTTGCATAATAATATTAATTCCCAATAATATGTATTCTTTGATCTTATGTTCAAAGAATTGAACAATCTAACCTTAGACTAATAATTACATTTGTAAAAAATAATAGACAGTTACGATCTGTTGATTGTATAAAACATTATGTATGTTCCTACTGAAGATCAAACTGCTGGTATGTTAATTAAACTTTTAACGCGAGAGGGGTTGGTAAAGTTATTGTCATAAATTGCGTTTTTAAATTTTCTTTTTTTTTTAGTTTATATTAAGTTGCTAAATTTATATAAATTGCAAGAAGTGTCATTAAGAATTATGTTACTGTAGGAGTTTATGAATGGCGCAATTGGCCACTTCTGCCTTATTTCCAATATGTAGTCGGAATCCTCTTTGGATTTGTCAGCGAGCTCGTGTGTGCAAGCTCAAAGTTTAATTATTGTTGTATAAACAGCAAGAATAGCAGAAATTAATTTATCAGATAGAACACAAATAAGATTAAGGTAACATTAAGTTGAAGTAATTTTAAGAAAAATATACTATTCTATATACTTTTGATGATTTTGAATTTTTGCACTTTTAAAAAAAATGTTTAGTTAAAGAATTTTTTAACGTCTTAAAAAGATTTTTTACTTAAAAAAATTAAATTCAATTCTTCAACTAAAAAGTCATATAAAAATCATTATGCTAAGATTTGTTAAAAATTCATAAAAGTATATTTAATGACATTATGATTTTCTCTAAAATATTTACGATTTATGTTATCTTGATCTTATTATGATTTTTGTATTCCAGATTAAAACTACGCGAATAAAAAGAAATATATTTATTTTCTTCCTAATTTTCAATTTCTTGTGATTAAAATAACTTTTAAAGAATAACAACAAAAATTTTTAAAGCTTCAGACCTTGACAACATACGTAAAGATTAAGGTTCTTAGCGATTTAACCTTTCTTAAATTGAATAATTATCATTTCTAATAATTAGTATCAGTACTAGTTTGCAAGGTTGCAAATGAGTAACTTATTTCATTTTTCTCAAAACTTGAGTCATATATTTATAGCCATTTTCTTCAAAAAATTGTTATCAAAAGAAAAACAATTTAGTTAAATATTGTTAAATTTATATCGTTCTTTATTAGATTTTACCTTTTTTTTGTGCTAAAATATTGACGCTTTGCATGATTCTAAAATCGTCCTGTGCATCAAGAGCATCCTTAATTCTTATCGCCGATTTCGTTTTTTGTTCGTATATAATTTTTACCAATTTTGCAGCTTCATTCGCCAGATTATGCGTCTTTGCGACGACTACGCCGACTGGTTGACCAGCATACAAAACTTCCTTTTCGGCGAACAGCAATTCATCCTGTGGCAAGGACTTAAACTTGCTGGCGGCAGAAATACATAGATTTTTTCCTGGTATGTCTTTGGCGATGAAAAATCCTATAAAACCCTTCAATTTAGCAGCCTCAATCGGATCTATCCTAATAATCTGGCCAGAACTGATATTTGTGACAACGAAAGCGCAAAACACTTCTCTAGGAAAGGGAGGCAGATCATCGCAATATTGGGCTTCACCTGATGTTTGCTCAAGAGATTCTAACTTTGGCATAGGTTTAGTCACTGGCCACATATCTTCATGCGTATTAAAGTCTTGCTTACCTAGGAAGATTGTATTCTTTTTGTATGCACAATTTCGGATAACCAGTCGAAATACACATTACGAATTTTTTTTATACATAAATTAATCTAAAACGATCATGTTCCTCTATTCCAATAATACATAGAGAGAAAGATTCATTTGGACTCGAAACTCCTATTTACGTTTATTTTATTGAAGCAATTTAATTTTAAATAAAACTATTCCGTTTAATGCCAAAAATTTAGCTTGAATATCAATTACATTTCTTAATTTAAAGACTCGATTTGATTGGACTATCTCAATGATGACATTTATTAAATTTAAAGAAATTTTTCTCCCAATGTATCAAAATTATCTACACCATTAAAAAGATTATTAAATAAAAATAGGAAAGTCTTGTTCTTCCAAAAAACAAATCAAAATATCTATAAGTAAAGTGTCTATATGAATCTTCGTGATTGTTGATTTAATAATGGTTTAATAAATATTATAATATTTAAAATATATTTATAATGAAATAAAATATTTTTTCTAGTTCAGGTAATTCGTACATGACCATACCGAAGATATCTCAAATCGCAATTACTTCGTTCGTAACTACATTCTAATTATTTGTTTATTATCATTATGTGAATTATATATCTTATCGCCTATAAAAATATTATTTACATGAATCACGATAGATTTATATAAATATTTATAATGGATAAGTATCTTCGAAAACGTTCTGGATACATTATGTGTACCTGAAGAAAGACGTCGCTCTAATAAAGTGCCTCCGCTACGATAAAAAGCTTTTATGTTCTCCGGTTTTATGCTTAGCAAAAACTTGTAAAATAATCCTTCGGCAAGAATCTTGCGAAATTCCGGCGAGTAATCCGGTAGCACATGATCAGGTTGCAGCTCGGCATGCAATATATCCAAAGCATTCAAAAGCGTTGAAGATAGATTCTTGATAATAGATTTACCCACCAAAAATTCCTCTGTCGTTTTTGCGTGCAGAAATTGCTTATTGATGCCACCGATGATGATGTTAGGCAACTCCAACACCTTTTCACAGAATATTGTAAATGTAAAAAAAAAATAAAACTTGAAGAAAATTAAAACATACGTGAGTAATTAATGATAAAATGATATAAACAATTCGTAATGATTCCATTACCGTGCCGTCACCGTCGAGTTTGAAGAGGAAGCCAGCGTTGACGTGAGCTTTAGCGTTCTGGGTTCTAGGCATGATCTTGTAGAATCTACATATGTGCTGGTTAGTTAGCTTTGGTAGCACAATGCTATAAATGATTTTATGGTGCATATCGAGCTTCAGAAATTCCCACAGATAGAAACTTTTCTTCTGGGAAGGACTTTCCAGGATGTGTACTTGAGTACTGACAGTTTCTAATATCAAATACAAATCGGATGGGAACTCATTGTGCTCATTTTTTATCATTAAGTTACCAGCAATAGTGCCAATATTTCGCACGGAATCGTTTGCAATCATTTCTACATACTCGGCCAATTGCCTTAGATATTCAAATCCAATTTCAGTTGAATATTTTTTAAATGCCTGCCGCGCCATGGTAAGGGTTAGATTTCCTCCTAGGACTAAAATAGAGTCAGTTTTTTCAATGTTACGCAAATTTGGAATATTGTTTATATCAATGTAGATATCTTTCTTGCTCGTAGGATAAACACCTGCAAAAAAATAAATTTCCATAGTATTATATAAATATCAAAGCTTACTTTTTATACTTATTGTTAGTTTAATCTAATTATAACAATTAATATTAAATGTGATACATTGTAAAATAATTGAAATTATTGAAGCTTTTTTATTTTCAGAATTTTGATAAATTTTATTGTTATAAGAGATTATTATTATTAAGAATAGTTTTTGAGAATTATTAACAAAATTGTATTTTTCAATATAGAACATTTGATTATTCAAATATAATTAAAAAAAACATAAAATCTGTATATATGTATATTCTTTAATTAAATGACAGAAATATAATATTTTATAATTTTGTTAGAAATTTGCCTGTCATATAATAATATTATTTTTATGAAAAAGTATTTATTCGAAAAAAAAAAAAATCATGTGAGTTCAGTATCAATATTGCTTTGTAATGCATATGTATATGCTAATAGTATTATTCAGATACTTGAAACAAATTATATACGTTTATCCAAGTTGATAAAAAATATGAATAATAATCATTGTTAACATTTCATATAAAAGATGCTACACTAATTATGCATGTAGTAAATTGAGTTCCCGTCAATTGAGTTTGTTTTTACATGTGTTGTAGCTTAGAAGAATAAAAATATTATATACATATGGCTCAAATAACAATGATTATGCTATTGTGTATCAAAGGTGGTTTGCATAGCAAATTTTGCATTTTTGATATCATAGATCAAAAACTATCCATTATTGAACCTCGTGTATCGGACATTTTCTGTTTATCACATTATAGGCTACAACATATAATAAAACCAACTAATTTCACCAGGACACAATTTTTTATATAATTAGTACCAGCAAGAAATTCTTTGTTTTACAGGATATCTCAGAACCGCCAAATATTTTGTGATACAGATGAAAATTACCAATTTTTGTCTCTTGTTTTTCTGTAAAGTTGATAGTACTTAATAAAAAACTATTCAATTTTAATTTAGCAATTTTTAGTAATTAATATCTTGTTAACTATTGTAAAAATTGCAAAGTGGTAAAGGACTTTTCGATTCTATTTAGTCTTCTCTATCAGTACACGAAATATTCAGCGGTCATTCTGGGACACCTTGTATGGATTGATTAGTGTCTGTATCATCTAATAAAGAAACACTACCGTGCGCAGTATTTCCTCCGTATAATATATATGTGGCTCTTGGGTTGTTTTCAAATATATTAAATAAATCCTCGACAGTGAGAACTTTGTAGAAGTATCCGCGGTCCTTTAACTTTATGCTCAACATTGTGTTTCTATCAGAAGATTGTTTGTCGCAACTACTTATACGTAGCATTCCGTATTTCTGGCAAGATTTGATTTTGTATAACTCCTACGAAATATGTTTTATTATATTTAAAACAGGATGAAATTAATATAAAAAGATATCATAATAACGGGTATATGATACCTTATTTCTATAAACAAAATCAAATTGTTCTTCTGAGAATAAAATTGAAAGTGTAATTTTAAAATAAAAATTAAATTTTTGAAATAAAAAAAGAAATTTTTCACAAAGCACCTCAATGTCATGAATCTCTTTCACCATTGATGGAGGTGCATCGGTGCCATATGTTTTGAACGCATCCAAAATTGCACGATATCCGGTGCATCGACAAATGTTGCCACCAAATGAATTTTCAATTTCCTGCATAGACAGATGTGAATCCTGAAGGATGCTGCGAAATATACACAACAATGCATTAATGCAAAGTTTTAGCTATACAAACTTTCAATTATATCTATTTAAATGATATTTTCCCTTGAACTGAACATAGCAATATTCTACGATTTTATATATGATTTTTGATTTATTTGTTTATTATTGGACATTTATAATTATAGATATTTATTTATTAATGTATGTTTTAAGGGTACTTTTTTTTGTATGCGACTTTGTTTCAACATCTAACAATTTCGAAAAGATTTTATCATGAAAAAAGGAAATGTAATATGTATAAAATATAATAATATTTCTTTAACATTAAAAATTAATTAACGATCTTATTATTATTAATTAGCAATTTTAATAATTCGTACCTGTACATATTCATTACCATGCCAGGAGAGCAATAGCCACATTGCGAACCATTTTTTGTAGCAAGCAAAGTTTGTATCGAATGATAACCGTTTCTTTTGTTTCCTAGACCTTCAGTCGTTAGAATATGCCATCTGCGATATTACATAGTATGAAATATTAGCTAATATTTACATATACTCGGCATACTTAGAAATTAAACAATTGGTATAAGAAATGAAATTGGCAAATATAAATGTGAAAAAAAGAGATTTTAATATTTCGATGAAAATTTCTTGTGTCGAAGATGATAGTTTTGTGCGCGCGCGTAACGTCATTAAACAAATCCTTTTACTTCTTTAGAAAATTAATTAAGCTCGATTGTTCTTTTCAATACACATACCCGTCGCAGATCAGTATTGGTACAAGACAGGAATTCACGGCTATTGTTTTGCCTTTGGATGTTACACTTACGATACAGGCACCGCAATCACCCTCGTGACACATCGCTTTTGTGCCTCGAAGACCCACATATTCGCGGATATATACAAGAAGAGACGTGTTATTGAGTACACTATCATCGGATACTGAAAGCGATTTTATAATTATAAAATTGTCTCACAAAATTCTCATTTAATATACATATTATTATCATTTACTTCTAAGGGATCATTTATATTTGTCGTAACCGTGTATGCTGTAATTGTATCAATGAACTAATTATAGCCAAGCATTTCCCTTATAAAATCGAACGAGAGGAGTATTGTGAATTTGTGATTAGTCAATTCTTACAAATTGCGGCATATGGCATATGGTTACGACCAGTATAAATGATACTTAAAGCTCAGAATCATAGTTAAAATTCCATAATCAAATTTTATAATATCTGTATAATGCTTTTTGTGGGATAAATCTTGAACTGAATATGATGAATTTTGTTACTTTATAGTAAATAATGTGTTATAGCTTCTGATTAGATTTTTAAAATATTTTTGAATCTCTGAAATTTTTTTATGTCTTATTCTATATGTTACTCCGCTTTTTAATAATATAATAAAAAATTTTATTTCCTTAATTACATATTTCATACAAAGAATACATACCTGAATATTGTATTCTATTAATTGTAAATTGGACTGTGTTATTGTCGGCACTAAACATATTAGATTGGGTAACATTTTAATTTTAGCTTTAATAAAAAAAGTATGATTATAGTATTTCATGAGAATATTTTCTGACTCGTTTTATATTAAGCTTTAAAAATATAATTAAAAAAAGATGGTATAAAAATTTTTGTCATAAAATAAAACATTTTGAATCCCTTAGATATTATTAACCCAATTTTATTTTGACTGTTTATCACACCTATATTGCAATAGCTTTTACATCCACTAAGTTCGAAGACTTACACTCTTGCAGGTTCCATTTTCACTTGTCAGTCGTGTCAAATTACGACTAACTATTCCTCATCCAAAGATATGGAATACTTATAAAAATAATACACTATCCGTGGACACTATAGGAGCGCTGTTTAAAAATCGTTAAAATGATAATTATTGGATAATGATATATATTGAATATACTACAATGTCATTTACTAGTAGTTGATGATTGTGTAGCAATGCTAGAAAGACTATGCACAAAAATACCGTTGTGGAGCAGAGATTTGTATAACATTTTCGAAATGGCTACAAAATCTTTACTGTTTAAAAATGTACTCACACTTACGAAAATATAAGCATGTATCATTAACATATAAAATAATATAAATTTTATATTATTACAGAAAAATTCAATAAAGAGTTATTTTTCAAATTAATTAGCTAATAAGGAACATATTCTGCTTGAATTTTTTGTATGTATGTATATATACCTATATATACATACATTTTTTTACACCGAATGTTTTAAAGTGCCCTGGGTGGACATTTTGAAACGCTTGTTTGGTGTAAAAAACAAATTCAGTATTTAAAAATAATTCAAAATGTTCATATTGGCCACGCTTGTCCAATTTGAGCTCCGGAGTCAAAACGAAAAGTCATCGACGCAAAAAATTCAATGTATAGGTAAGATTTTGGGAACTAAAGTATTGAGATACGCATTTAAGTGACGCTTATCAACAGTTTATAATTTCTAAAATCTTACATTGAATTTTTTTTCGTCAAATTGGACAGGCGTGATATAGGCATTTATTTTATCTAATCTTGTTTTCTAATAACAAACGTTTTCGTATGCGTTTCACTATATCTCGTTACAATTTCAACTGGCGTAACATCATCACACGTCCTCACGTTCTCACGTCTTCTTACTGACTGTCAGTAAACATTTTCTTTGAATATATCGAACGTTAGTTTAGTTCGCAATGATATAAAAGCGTTTGTAACTAAACAGTGTCAAATAGGACGATGTTATATAGATTTGTTGTGTCTTGTTTTGGAAGGTATGTCCACATGTTATAAAACACCTTCCATATACTTTATGCATGTGTATTCGTATATATACAAAATTTTTGAATTTTTTCTAAGTATAATACAGCAAAAAGATAATTAATTAAAGAATTTATTTTATATATCGATTTATATCAGCAAACGGTTCTTATGCCTGCTATTAAAGCACTATGTTGTCTTTGCTGGTTAAACTAGTTAGAATACATTCTGTAGTACACGGTCCATTTACAAACATTAGGAATTATATGTAAATGTATATATTTATACCTTATTGTAATAATATTTTATAAATATGCGTATGCATTGTCTAACTTATAAAAAGAAAATTTTAGGAGTAAGTCTGATAATGAGTCGTATCCGATTTCAAAATAATATATTTTGTACAATTTTATTACAATTAAATGTTTATGATTCGACTTCGAGTAACGCACATCGATTAATATGTATATGAAATGAGTGTTATGAATATAATAGTTTTAAAAAAACGATAAAAGATCGATTAGATCATAAATCCCAACGTTTTTTCTTTAAATCATTACCTCGCACATTTTATTCTAATGAAAGAAAAAGAGAGTAAAAAAACTATAATAGGATTAAAAGAAGTTTACATCGTAAGGGCATTGTAATACATACAATAACAATTAAACGATTTGCACTTATTGAAAAAAATGCAGAAATTAATCCAATGACATTAGAAAGTAAATGCAAACATCGCGAATGTTCTTTACCAATAATTGGAATGCATCCGTAGCAAATGCCTTAAACGCTTTGAGAATTGCATGACATCCAGTATCATCGTTAAATGTTGTACCCAATGAATTTTCAATTTGTTGCATACACAACTTTTTATTATGCACGAGACTGCGAATGTATACAGTTTGCTTTTGAGTACAAATGCACAACGTATTTAATTTCGAAATATTTTTATTGCAGATAAATGTAGCTATATACGTATAATTTTATGCACATGATTTTAACTTACAATTTATTTGTTTATTATTGGACAATCAATAATTACACTACAAGAATTTATTCACTAAAATATTAATATGTTAATTTTTCTTAAGAATATATATTCTTGAATCGCAACTCGATCGCAACGCCCGACAATTCCGAGAAGATTTTTAATTGATGCGTATATATATATTATATATAATAATGTAAAAAAAAATTTAATAAATTTTAAAAAATCATAATATATCTTCAATATTAGACATTTTGAGCAAATAAAATAGCTCAAGAATAAGCAGCATAAGCAGCACCGAAAAAAAAATATATTTTTCTATTATATGACAACGTAAAATACGTTAATTAATTTTATATATTAATCCATTACTATATTGCTACAATCTCCATTCGTTCCATTTTATTTTCTCTCACATATATTTTTAATATAAATATTGTAAATAACATCGACGTCTCTAAGATCTGCTTATGCATACCTACATTGAGAAAAAAATTTTAATATTTTTTTGAATAGTTCTAGTTGAAATTTATTAAGTATAAATACTTAGTATAGTTATTACATACAAGACTCATTAGTTTGATATAATTATCATTTCTTTATTTATCTACATATATATTTACTGTATATAAATATTCAGCTAAGACTATTCAAAGAAACATTTATTAAAATGTAATACATTTTTTTATAGTTTTTGTACATTTATATGATAGAAATACTGTATGAATTAATTTAAAAAAATTTTTTTGTTATATTATATGTTACTAATATTGTATATTACATTAATATTGTTATTAATATCATATATTACATTAATATTATTAATATTGTTACATTATAATGACATCTTATAAATATTCTAATGTTGTATTCAATACGTATTTAATACTGTATTTAAACTTAAAACTGTTAATATTGAGTGATATAGTATATAGCTGTTGATAAACTTTACAAGGAACTATTAATTAATTAAAATAAGATTTTCAAACGTTTCACACTTTAATTTAATGACAAAATATTTAACAATAACAATAAAAAATAATAAAAATACAGATGAGACTAATGAGAGTCATATGCTGTTGTAGAAGAGGTAAGAAAAGTAGATAATCCTCAGATGTTAATGGTTATTTTCATTTTATTTCGAACGTTTCGGCTTACTTCGGAATCTTCATCAGCGATTACAAATTCAAAATTTTATTTAATTTTTTATTTATAATTTTTATTTATTTATTAATTGATAAAATATTTATAATCTTTAAAAACATAAATATCATAACTATTAGCTTAAAAAGAAAGAAGGATAAGCACATTAATAATAGTTACTATTTTAAAGCAATATGAAGTATGTAATCTCTTATAGCATAATAAAATGTATAATAACACAAAATTGATATTATATATTACGCTCTCTGTTGTAATATTGCCAATCAGGAGCTCCAAGCTTATCCATATATGTATAACGAACTAAATTTTTAAAACTTTGTCGTCATTTATCTTATCTTTTAGTACAAATTAAAGCAGTAGCAAATTAAATCTTCTGATGATCGTTGAAAGCAGAAAGTAAGGAAGAAATTTATTACGAAAAATATTACTTTCCGCAATAAATTTCTTACTTACTTTCTTTCTTTCTTTCTAATTTAATTTAGGAGGAATTATTAGCGTTTCAGAATGATTGTGTCGAATTCGAATATTATTGGTTCGCAGTTATGTCTGGAATAAATTGATTTAATAAAAGAATATATAATGTATTATTTGTAACATCCAAAAATGTGACCGATCTTGGCTTTCTTTATCGTATTTGTTATATCCTTTAAGTTTACAAAATTTTTCAATTATTCTATTTAGATAGTAATTAAATAACGACTAACTAAATACAAAACTTATTTTAAACAGCAGGTACAGGTAATAGGAACAGCGAACAAGGAATAACGAGCCATCCAATCAGAACTGTGGAGTATAATATCAAACTTGTACCCCAGAGCTTTGATTGGATGGCTCGTTATTCCTTGTTCCCTGTTCCTATTACCTGTACCTATTGTGATTCCAGTTTAATTCCACCATACGCACACTACATCAACCGTGTGAATATGGCGTTTTTAGGCCGGTATTCATAGTCGATTCTTATTTCAAGACCGTATTAATGTCTTAAGACGCTAATGCGGCCCTCTGATTGGTTTATGGCACCTCAGGTTCAGCCTTCATAGTCAGATCTTATATAATATTTAAGACCGTCTTGACTATGAATACCGGCCTTAGATTCTTCAATCGTAAACAGCGACATCTGTGAGAATGCTACATAATTGTTAGTATTATATATTATACAATTTCTTCAGATAATACAGTAATTTATGTTTTCTACCGAAGGTAAATTGACAGCCAAGCCATTGACATTTTTATTTACAAATCGCCCGCGTGATGTGTGTGTCACTAGTAGTATTTAAAAAAATATATTTTGTGTTCCCAAGTAACACAGCAGCGTTTGTAAAGCGTTAAAAAATGATTATATGCGCTTATAGGGTATAGTAAAGTCGCCTATTATGAAATACCTTTTTTAAAGGGTTGTAATTTATTTAATTTGTAACTTCAATTTTTACCTTCATGTTAAATTTATGGAAAATATATTTAAGTTTTATCGCCAAAAGTTAGCAATCAATAATAGCTATACTTTGTTGTATGTGAAATTTTTTATCAAAAGTGCCGATTTTGATCATTCAAAAAAAGGCTTCTTAATATGAGGGCTTATGTGAGAT